AATGAAATTGGTCAGGTAGGTGGCATATAAATTAAGAGAAAATGACTAACGGACAGCATCGAAATACGAAGGCTTAAGTTGGCATACTTTATATCTGCACACTGAGTTGAAGTCAATAAATGGGAATGCCTGCGAATTGTTAGTATTAGATGGTTAGTGGCAATCGACACGAAGCTTTGGACCCAGGTTTCGTGCTAGTTGGCACTCATCGGCAAGGCGTATCTGCCAACTGCCTCCAACCATCTAATACCAAGAATTCACAGTGCAGCCTGACGCGAGCCACCTAGCATGGTTGCCACACTGCAAACCTGACTAGTCGAATCCTGTCTGCAGCAAACGAAGGACTAGACATATTACACTAGTTACTGACTTGTGTTCAATCAAAAATGAGAATATCATTAAACGAAAATAATAAAACCATGAAATATAGGACACCATGAAACGAAGGAAGGGAAAGTGACCAGATCTTTTATTTAAATAACCGCGAAAATTTTTAGTATGCAATGCAACTAATGAAACCTTCATAAAATGAATCTTTGTCAAAAAGAAGAACAGCTGTTGCAAAAAATAAACCATTTTACTAGAAAATACCACTCTTTAATTATTCCTTTCTTTTTATAGTTACGGTATTTCAACAAAACTCAAATGAAACATAAACGGATGCAACTAACATGCAAAGAGTACCGCAGTCATACCATGCCAACATACCGTCTAAGCAATTCCACACTCTTGACAAAATATCACATCATTTTAATAAAAATTACTTCTATTCAGATATTTCACTCGTAAAATTTCAACGACAAAAACCCTCAATTTGCTACAATAAGCTAACATGACCTCGCGGCATCTACAAGCAGTCAGCAAAAGCAGAAAAGCCAATAAAAAAGTGACACAGCACTTAAAGCAATGACAAACAAAAATGTATCTTTGTGGTAGCAACCATTTCCTAAGTCATATCTCATGAAGTCCTTAGCCGTCAGTTGGGCTTTTCATAAGAACTATAGGCAAGCTATGTACATTTTTCTACACAGACTACAGCAGCAATCGATGTTAGCAAGCACTGATCTTAGTCAAGTCATCTTTCGTCTTTTTCCAACATAGTCTTGCTTCCGCCTAAAACATCTCAATAATAATTTAAATGGTGATCAGAAATGAGTGACGCGCTTCCTCGACACTTCAAAGACTGACTTACTTTCTCACCTAAGACTGTGAACTTTATGGATATAAGGATAAAAGTGGGGCACTGTGGTAGAGTATGACTCGACTATGGGTAAAAATTTTATTTTGATAAAATCACACAATGTTATACACTAATATTTATTGATGACCACGTTTCTAGCACAAATTATTGCTCATAATCACATCAAGGTACTCACACAACTTTTTTTCTGTGAACTTTATCAATTAGACGTCTTTCTATCCTTTGGTCTCCATAAATAGGAAGAATTACTGACATTCAGCAGGAGTGAGTATGAAAATGTGACTGACTGTTTTGATAAAATACTTGATAAATATAAATGTGGAGTCATCTTTTCTGTAGAAAGAAGCACTCTACACTCACCATAAAAAAGTAATTAACTCACACTGAGTTTATCAAGAACAACTATAAAATTATTTTCATCTGACCTATAAGCTTAAATGAACATCGCCTAAAGGAAATTTTATTCAATTACCAATAAAAGAAAGTAATAGGATATGAGGATAGGACTCTTTGCTAGAGAAAATTTTGATGGAATTCTGTATATGGATTTACACTCAAAAGAACTAATCCTAATAAATCTTTAAGGTGATGTACTTAGTTTTTTTCAGTTTGGAATCTTATTTTCTGGACATATGAGAGGAACGGCAAGCGAAGCGGAACAGTAATAAACTTCAACTGGATCAGAATTGTACGATGGCAGTATTACTAGAATTTAACTGTCTAATGGTCGACAAAAATGTCTATGTTTCTCTGATTTCCTATTACCAGCCGCCTGTATCTCTTCTCAGTAAGTTGATCGAAGATAGTTTTCTGTCAACTTTCACAAAGTATTACTCCACAGAGTAGATGACATTTCTTGACTGTAAAAAATAAAAACCGTCATTAGTCTATTCAAACAACAGTTCACTGCCTGTTTCATTCTTGGGTTTCGCTTGTCTCGTTTACTGCTTCATTGCTTAGTCCTACCACAAAGTATCAGTAACTCCATCAACCTTTAATTTATCTCTTTGAGAACTTTTTTGGATCACTGAGTGTCACTGATAAAATTTATTTGCAACAGTGTGGGAATCAGAATTCGCAGTCATCTGTTTTCAAAAAACTGAATCAATATTTTAAAAAAACATAAAGCATTTTTGACTGCCTGGTTAAATCACTAGGCTACCTAAATTTTGCTATCCACCTAAATCCATCGTGTTTGCTATATTTCATTTTATTTTAACCATACAATTACATCTAATAAATTTCTATGCATACTCTGGTACATTTTCAAATCGGTTTCAACCTATTGCTCCGAATTTTCTGACGGAAATGGAGGATAAACATTTTGGATTACTGGGAAATGCTCCAGATGAAACAATATCACTTCAGTTGATTTATGATCATTTACTATGTTACTTGAAGATTCTGCACAGGGAGTAAATACCTTGCAATAAGAAACTCCCTGAAAGTTCTGTATTATGTAGAAAGGCATTTTCAGAATAAAGCTAGTAGTAGTATTAAGACTACCAATGATTGACACAAATATGTATAATTAAAAATGAGGCAGTTCTGTCACTACATGAGGAGGACTTTCACATAAATCGGGGACTAGCACATCTGTTTATCCTGCATAGTTTCACAAGCATTTAAAATGTATTCCACTTCAGGTAATTTATACGTTGTTTATAAAAAGAAACATTAATTCCTCCGTAATTTATAGGTTACCAAAGTCATTTGACATATAACGACTATTTCAAGTGATTCCCGCTACTTTTTGTTTGATTGTGAATGCGTGTATGTGATGAATCCATTAAATAAATTTATTTACAAGTGAATAAATTGGTCAAGGTCACCAACTACTGTTATCATCGTATTATTTTACTAAACAAGTGCGATACACACTTACAGTATCAACTGTTGGCGTTCGATTTGCATGTTTCGAGTTTTATTGATTTTTTTGAATAACGAAAGAACGGATATATTCGCAGGATATTGCAAGCATGTTGTATTTAGTGGATTCTCTTCAACTGTGTACATCCCAAATAAACATCATTGACATCCTAAACATTCTGAACTGTCCCTCATAATGTACGTAAATTTTATCTATTATTCAATCTCGTATTCTGTTTCTAGTCTACCCTAGTTTCCAAGCGAAATCTGAATTCCACCCGTTTATCTAATCACTATATAAATTATTACTCTTTTAATACTGAATAATTCGTCTAGTTACATCATCCTTAAAATTATATTGCCTATACTTCCTATCTATAACTTGAAATCATTGTAAGAAATATGTTCAGGAATTTTGTACCATATAATTGATTTACTTAGGATGTACGCTGCTGAAAAGAATCCACGAAATAAAACGATCTCGTATTATCCTGAGAATATATTCGTGCTTTCTTTATTCAAACTAATAAAGGGAACCGGCTGTATGAAATTATTGATTTTATTTCTTTAAAATGGACAATTATTTGTCATTCAGATGAACATTTATTCTGTCTAGCGTGACTGTTATAATTTATTGACACTGACCATGGAAATCCTATATTACAAGTGATCTCTGCAGCATCTCAGAATAAGCCTTCCCACTTCGAATGCACACCAGACAATTAAAAGAAAAACAGTAAACTAATGAAACTCGAGTTTCATGTAGGCTAATCACTTAGGGAAAACGAATGTGACACTAAATGTTTTCAATGAGAAAATTTAAAACTTAACGATTTTTCGATAATAATGTAGCCTGTAACAATACGATATAAAGTATACATTGATGCTAACATACTAGCATGCATGAGCCTTCAAATTGCATCGGTGGCTCAGCGGTAGAATGCTCGCCGACCATGCAGGTGGTCCGGGGTTCGATCACCGGCCGACGTGCTTCTTCACCTTCCCCCAAGCCATTAATAAGGCTCCTAAATGGGGGAAGGTTGAACATGAGACTAACAACCCCATCCCGTAAAATAAACACCACTGCTACCGAAACTTCATGCCTGTAGCTTGAAGCACAATGTTCCACCGGGAACGTAAAGGAATATTAAAAAAATGAGCCTTCAGATTAATATTTTGTTATTGCATTGGAAAATTAGCTTCACAGTATAATGCAGCAGCTAACTGGGGAAGTAGTAAGTGACCTAAATGATAAAAAGGACCATTCATATGACTTGAGAAAATAAGTTAATATAAGGGACAAATATAGAATATTACTCAAAAAGCAATGAATATTCAATGTTCAACCAGGAGTAGATAAAAGTTTCAAATGTAGTAGCAAATTACCACCTAGTAATTGAATACCATTTCGAAGAAATAGATGTTTTCTTTTACAAAATCATACAGTATCTAAGTAAAAAGCAGTTACATGGAGGAATTTAATCATGAGCTGACATCAGTTAGAGAACCACTGGAAAACCTGGGAGTACTGGACAGCCGTTTCGTCCTAGTTTGGGACTCCTCATCAGTACGCACCCACCGGGGTTCGAACCCAGGACCTTCTGGTTACAAGGCGAGCTCGTAGACCATTGAGCCACTGGGACCCGATCCAATGGTCCTTGAATTCTAACTTCTGCCAGTTCACGACATAGCGCGACCACTTCGCAATGTCTTCTTCGATGATTAAATTCCTCCATGCAATCAAACAAAATCCCTACAAAAACCAATACTTGAAAAAGCAGTTATTCAAATTTCCATAATTAACTCACAGATGGATAAAAAAAATTGAAAAAGTTGTCTAAGTGGAAATTGCGATTAAGTTAAAAAAATTCATCTCTAAGACTTTCTGTGTCAGTATGAAATAGATATGAAAATGCTTGTATATATATATATATATATATATAGTTAAAAATAGACTTCAATACTCTGATGACAATTGTGAATTTATTCATTTTATCGATCCATCCCATACTGTTTATATACCCCGCGGTCGATAGACCACTGAAAGGGGGAGAAAAGCTGGTTAACTTAATTGTTTATTCGATAATGGCTGTTTTTAGGAGAGTATCATAACTGCAGTGACAAAACAATAAGTCGCTCTTGTCAAAAACTCGATTTTCTTCTCTTCACGATTGACCTTCAATCCGACCAATCACCTATGAGATGAACCTGATTGGTTGATCGTATTTAACCTGTCTAATGCAATTTTTGATACGCTTAAATTACATTTGCATGCATTTCATAAATAATTACAGACAAATATGTGGAACATTTAACATTCCTGAATTAAACTAAGTAAGTCTAAAAAATTTATCACAAACTATTGCAATGCTTATCAATAATCATTTCAACACTATGATTGTCAGTATACGTGTCCATGGTCATGCTTAGATAGTTGAGAATCCATTGCATTTTATGCTAGCAGAGCAAACGAAAGTGGGACTTATTTGGACTGACAACTTTCTTGCTGCTCAGTGAAACGCACCAGCTAACCAAATACTAGAAACTGGTTTTCCATTGAGAGTTTAATACAAGCAACAAATATGTTGATAAAGCTTGTTTTAAATTGACCAAATAATTTCTTTCTTATGGTTATGATAGAAAACTGGCTACGTTAGCTACATTTATCACATGTCCAAAAACCACAATAACATTAGGATTTTTGTTTTAGTTGCTAATTGTCCTACAGTAGAGATTTCAACATTCCAAGTGAATTCAATGCAAACAGATTTCGCAAGAAGATATGATAGTCATTCCACACACTGACTACTAATTTTTACATATTTTTCTTTTTACACCCGTTAGTTCCGAAATCTAGTTGACTTTCAAAGCCAACTATGCGGCTGGTCACTTCTCATTTTGTCGACTTTATAACCAATGACACTAATTAAAGTCTTTGGGCATTTGTTTATCTTAGTGATAGTTGGATTTGTATTGATTGTTAAGACTTGTATACTTCCGTAATTTGCTCGCCACTTTGTCTTGTAAGATAATAAACTTCTTCCAAAGTATGTCATCAAAAAGTCCACTTATCTGCTTTAAATCAGTTGTTGTACCTGGTGAAATTTATAACGTTCATTAATCAAGCAGCTCGACATTGTGATTGTACATAAACCAGTATGACTATGTGAAAATTGATGTCACATTGGAACGTACAGTATGCGAATACTGCTCAAATGTAGCTAGGAAACAACAGAAAGTTAAGTCTACCATATATGGAAAAAGTGTAATTCTTGGTCCAGGTTAAATGTGAGTGAACAAAACTAATGCCTAAGGCACTTGATATCCTAAGAGTCACGTACTTTACCGCAAAGTAGACATCATTCGAATAAGCATATGTAAAACACAGAAATTTCTCCAACTGTATGCGTAAATTCTGTGAATCCAAGGTAAAAAGTCTTAATCAGCATTCTGCTACTACATACTCGTTGTGCTTATAAATGCACTAATACTTTCAAACAGGTTTTTCAGTAATCATTTCATCAGCAAACAGATATCAAGACATATGATATATATATATATGCGTGTGGATTTTCATTATAAATTTTACGACTCATTATTCTTATAAAACTATTTCTGTACTCATTAATTAAGGTTTAATTTCTCCTTGTGTAAGATCAACAATAACACGTTGAATCTTATCAAATAAAATTCTAAGCAATTGTAGTGGCACTCAATATCAGACAAACACTTTTTTTCTGTGTCCTTATGTACGGGTGTACGTGTGAACCCTCGCGTATATATTGTCTGCGCTAAGAGAAATTTGTGTTTTTTCAAAATGTAAATCACAACTAAATATCTTTTATAAACGATATTTATGTGTACTGTATAATCTGTTGACTGGAGTCCTTTTCAATTACATCACTTTCCCCTCGTTTTTTTTCATACGTCGCATTTGATTTCTGATTGGATTCTTTCGCGAAGTTTATGATTCTTGATTATTAGATTTAAAAAAGGCATAGAGAAAATAAATTCGACAAAATAAGCATAATAAAATATAAATTATTAGTATACATTCTGTAAAGAGTTATCTTTGAAGGTTTTTAATGTATCTTTTTAAAGTACTAGTGATTACTGTTAGTTAACCCTTAGGCATACATTATAAGGGTTCTTGAGAGCAAACAACAAAATATCCCATTTGAAATATAAATATGTCCGATTTCATTCTAACACTAATGAAAAGCCTCCCACTGAATTACCCTTATCTTGAGTTATCGTGTACTAACTAATAACATGCTTTAATTGTTTGTGCTAGTAGGGGATAATTATTAATATAGAGAGTTTTTCTTTTGAGAAGCGGTTGTAGATTTGAGTAACATAATTCCCTTTTACACTAAATCAAATAATTTAACTTTACATCATTGTAAAGTATGATTGGAGCCTAATTCTAGCCGACTGGTATCATGAAGATACTGGACAAACTTCTGAAATTAGCAATGAAGCTTTGATTCATAGGGGTAGGCGATGGTGTTTCATCTCACTTTTTGAATCCTCTTTTCTAGTCAACTTTTGGCTGTCAGATAATACCTATCGGATAATCTTTGTAGATTTCATTAATCAGAGATTCGGTGAACAGCTCACTGCTCAGTTGAACACAGTCAGTTCATGTTACATTTGTTCAAGAAATAATTTATTTCGCTGTAAAATCGTTAAAATTCTGCAACACTTAGAGGATTTTGGAAAAACCTTGAAGCAACAGACGGCTGTATGGCTGTCCCCTGGGACACTCCAACAGTTCGTATTCACGATGCCAACTAAGAACTTCAATTTGTGAGATGAGTACCAATTCGGAGTCCATTGACTCGTGAATTGTAATTTTTTTCAATTCGACATATTTTAGGTGAAATTTTGCTATCCAGAGATGACACTGTTAAAAGCTGTCAAGTTGAATGACACTCGGGTAGATACACTATTTTTATCTATTTTACGTTAAGAAAAATGTATTATTTCCCAGTTTCGATGTAGAATATCAGTGAAATTATAATTAGTGTGTATATTTAACAAAAGTGAGTGGTATTTCGTGCAACTCCGGTGGTTTGGTGATGGAAAGCTCATCAACCCCATACGGGGTCTAGGGTTTGATTCTTGGCCAATACATTCTTAAACCTTACTTAGTTTATCAGCTGAGAGTAAGCTCGGAGATGAAAGGTTGTGTGTGAAGTTAGACAACACCACTGTAACTGAATTTTTGACGCTTGAAACGTTTTGTTCCACTAGAAGCGCAAAGAAATGGAAAATATTTCATACAGAGATGAATAAGACCTCATTAAAATATAATTTAAACAATCTACAGTTCACAGAAACGTTAATACATACAAATAAATCTTTAAAAATGTCAGCTTCTAAAATCCATCTGTCAGATCGCGTGAAATTAGTTGCTTTTGGAGTAACTGATCTGAACTGATGTTTCTTCTTTTTGTACAGAAAGCAATATCTGTATAGACACATCTAGACGTGTGTTGTTTAGCTAAGAAAGACGCATAATGGCCCTTACAGTCACTCATCATTATATATATTATTACAGGCAATAACTTAATTTCTTTTCAAGAAGCACAAGGATTAACACCGATAAGGCTTTCTATTTCACAGATCTGTCGACTGATTTTTGTAACCAAATAGAGTGGAACAATTTGTTTCAAAAATGCTTTTCAGACCTATTATATAAAAATACAATTCACTGTTGAAAATGAAGGAAATCTAAATAATTACAAGTAGTCCGGATAGCCTATTGCTTAGTTCCTGATGGTTGAATAAACACAAACATCAAATTCCGGCACTTACATCACATCTACCTTACTCATGATATATGATGTGTGGATCATTTATTTAAATTTGTTGGAACGACTTTCTTTGTGTTTCAGTTCATTTATACTTTAATGTACAGTCCAACAGTGTGTCAGCAAAATCAATGGCTAAATCTACTGGCGCACATGGGAAAAATCTCAAAAAGTGTATCTTTTTTACTGTTATGATAGATGGCAGCTTAGAATCTCAGAGTGGTCCTTATAATTGAGAATTTTTTCGGAAGAGGAAATGTTGAATCATTCTCTGACTCATAAGCAGGAATATTTCTTTGTTCTTGAATAAGAAAATCAAGCAACACACAGTAAAGAAAACTAGAAAAATACTGACATAAAACTGTATTTTTATTGGTTGTTCTATAGAGAATTGATTAGAATGGACATAAGAGGATTAGTCACATTGATTAGTCAAAAATGAGTCAGATATTTCAGCTTCTAAATACACGACGACTTTCTCTCTCCATATATATATATATTACCATGACTGTTCTGTCAGTCTTTTACATGTACTTACTACGTATTGAGTTGGTTCCAGTCAGTCAATTTGTTATTGCCTGTACTTATAATTCACTGTTTTTCATCGGTCTTTTCTAGCGTAGTATAGAGCAGCAAACAGCTCATCCATTACTCCACTCATTCAACATTCAGCGTACGAAAACTATGCTTTTTTTCCTTCACGTTCCCAGTGGAACATAGGGCCTCAAGCTAGGGGCTTGAAGTTTCTGTAGCAGTGTTTAATTTTTACAGGATGGGGTTGCTAGCCTCATACCCAACCTTTCCTCTTTACCAGAATTATTTCTGGCTTAGCAAGGTAAAGGAGTGCGAACTATGCTTAGAATAGTAATTTTATCATCTCCCAACACCAGACTTGGATGACCGTAACTGCTATTTAATTCAATAGCTGGAGTTTCACAGCCTGAACCTCTTTTGAACTCTACTGGAGATTCCACTGAGCATAAATGAACTCTAAATGGTGGTGATGATGTTGATTTAGACTGCGACCTCGGAAAATGGAGAATAGAAATACTTAATGAGCAAATACCGAACAAGACTTTGAGGACTGAGTATACATTGCCTCTATTTACCACAATTCAGTATCAGTGATTTCAGCTACAATATCGCAAAATAATCAAAAGAATTCGATTAGCATTGAGGAGAGATCAGAACAATGTATATGTTCAGTACCTGTCCATTTGAAGCAGAGATTATTAGCTGAATAAAACCTTAGTGGAATGTCTCAGAGTTATGCGTTTGTCACTGCACAACACAAATGCTCATGACTTTTGATGATGAATCTGGATCAGTGCTGTTTTATATAGTTCATAAAGACTAAACTTGATATTAACCTAGGCTGATTGTTATCTCAAATGACGTTTAAGTGAGGCAGAGAATAATAATGACAGAAAAAAATCCTTTTTCTTTTTTTTTCCCTTTTTCGTTTCACCCATACGCAGATGATTCTTTAATTGCTTAACAGACTATTATCTACACTAA